TATTCTATGTTTCGATTCAGTAATACCTTAATCTTACTCATTTTAACGTTAAAAGTTAATATATAATATTTATCCTGGTTGCATTTCCTAAATAGTGGCTGAGCCAAACTGGTTGCATATTTAGAGTTATTAACTTTTCGATTAGAATATACTAAATTGCTTAGTGTCGGCAGCTTGCAGCCAAGTTTCCTCCCCTTGTCTCTTGTTAATGATCCCTCTCATATTCTTATTTCATAGTGGAACTTATTTTTATCTTGTATTAAAATGGACTCAAGAAATTCGTATCGATTTTACAAAAATACAAGGACGGATTCACCTTAGTTCGTCATAATTTTCGTTTGCTGGGACCAGAATGACGATATTTGGCTAAGTTACACTCCTTTAGACCATGCTATGTAAGCAATGCTGGAAAGAATTAATCCCTGATTTACTTTTGTCGGTATTCATAGCAAAGGTTAAATTGACACTGTAATGAGTTCGAACCATCTAACGCCAAATCGTAAAAATATAGATAAAACATTGATTGACCTAACAATGTGTGAAGGTAACAAAATAATCAAATAACGGTATAAAAAAGAAAACGAATCAATCTTGAAATGCAATACAAGTGTGAAGGGAAATCACAGATATGGCTTGGTAAATTATCTGACAAGCAAGTGCGGTGACGCTCTTTACTTAGCTTCATGCACAGTAGAGGCAGCCGCCGTCATTAAAATGTGGGAGATGTCAAAATAAAAAGAGTGTTCTTCTTGGTGGTCGCCCACTTCACAAGTTTTTTTATTGATTCATTGGCAGTAGCCTTGGTAACGGTTGGCTCGAATGTCGCGTAAAGTTCGAAGTTGTCTGTCCTCTGAAAGGGGTGAAGAGCGAGAAGGAAGTATTGAAATAAGAATTGAATGAAAATTATTTCAAACTAAACATCCCCTCAAATCAGCTGGGCTTAAGTTAGGCTATATACTAGTTGTCATAATCCAAAATAACAAGGCCGGGGCTCAAAAAATAATAAGATAATTAGACATGACCCAGTTTACAAGTATAAGATCGTAAAGGTCATACCACAAAATAGTAAGATCAAAAGAATAGTCTCATGACCTAAAACATTAAATAAGGATGAGTTGTGCTCACACTATTTTGTTTAAGAAGAAAACCTACTCAATTACTAAATAAGGGAGATCAAAAAATTTTGATGAATTTCTATAATTAAATTTAATAAAAAATTGAAGTAAAGCTGCACTCAAATTACATGCTAGCAAAATTAAATTCTCTTAGGAAATCTATCTTTCGCAGTTCATATATCGTTGCAAATTTTCAGAGATAGCAATATAATTAAGAGTATGAGATCAAGATTTATTAAAATGTGCCAAAAAAGCATATAAGCATTTACACATTAACTGACATGTTTGCTAAAGACTCAGATATGGGGAGTAGGGAAGATAAACACAAATGGGATGAGGGAGATAATTGGTTCTATCAATAATGCCTTATTAAAAGAGCAGTAAAAGCCGGTTTGGATAAAGTTACCCGAGTTACCACTTTGTCTAACATGCTGACATAAGAAATATCAAGGAATGAGAATAAGGAAAGGTTACTACAAATTGACCGTGGCGTGGAAAAGTGAAAGGCGTATTAACAGACAGAAGGGAAAGTAGCCAGTAGAGTAGGATGCAGGGGACTTACAGAGGCAAAGAAAACTTCGGTACCTGCAGCCTGATAAACTAAGCGCACAGGCTTAGCACTACGATGTAGGAGAGAGTGGAGGCGCCGGTAAGCAGAAAGCACTGTCTGACGGCGGGACGCCACTAGGGGAGAAACGGGCGAGCGAGTCAATTCAGAGTGACCCGCACCTATAGAGCCGTCACTCTCAGTTGAAACAGAAGATTCAAAGCAGTCAGGCCGATTTGTGGATTTCAACTCAATACCATGTCCACTCGCAGCTTTTGAACTACCAAGAGGATTTGAAAGACCCGAAACAAGACCAATTGGGTCTTCTCTATCGCTTGCATTAGCTAACCCTGTACCCCCTAAAGTTGGCTTAAGATTTATACATTCCTGATCAGTGTACGGAGGGCACCATCGACTGACAGTGAACTGCACAGCGGGAATATACTTGCAAACGAAGTGCCGCAGCCCATGAACTCCGGTATCCACAATGTCCACGGTGTCAGCGGCCGCCAATGTATCGAGACAAATGCCGCCGGATAATAAGCGCAATTGCTAAATTATGGAGCGAAAATGGAAATGAAGGATGGAGGAGATATAGAAATAAATCGAGTGAGAGATAACCAAGGAAAATTAGAACAAATTTAAACCTATTCAGCTATATGTCAAAGAACTCCTTAGGATGTAAATAGTTAAGCTGCATATATCTAAAAATGTTTAGTAAGTGTAGCTGGTTTACCATAATTATTTACTTCTAAGCTAGTTCATCAACCAAAATTGTGACATGAAATTCCATTTCAGAGGAATTCGTGATGCGGCCTCACCTGAAACCGAAGGAGGATTGCTCATTGTGACACAGAAGAACAGTGAGCTGAGGACTTTTTTGCAAAATACAAGTCTTCCCTACGTGACAATCCTCATTCGGTTTCAGGTGAGACATCAAGAATTCCTACGGACCAACTTTTCCTTCAAAGTGTAAAGTCATGGAACAATATATCTCCAAAATCCAGTTTTGCTTCAACTCATCAATAAAAATGTGAACATAAAGAGAAAACAAGGCCAGTTTAAAGCAAACAAGAGGCTGAACTAGTTAGATAGTAAAAAGTAGTTAGGATCAGAGCAGCAAACAGAAAATTATTGTCGAAAACATAATTCAGCGCTATAATAAGAAGATTCAAACTGAACTTCCGAGCTATACGGACAAA